TTGCATCTTTTGCGTGTGGCCTTCCAGTGTTTCAACATCATTTGTTGAAAAGACTGTTCTTTCTCAGTCCTGGCACCTTTGTCTAAAATCAGTTGACCGTTGATGTGAGTTTATGTATTGTCAGTTCTATTCCATTGATTTATGTGTTCGTCCTTATCCCAGTAACACTCTGTTTGGATTTCTGTTGCTTTGAAATTGGAAAGTGTGAGTCTTCCAACTTGGTATATTGAGTTGATTGATTTTCATTTGTTGAACTACCCATACGTACCTTGGGTAAATCCTAGTTGTTCCTGGTGTATAAGCTGTTTAAAAATTATTTTTAGTAGTGCTAAAATATACATAACACAAAACTTACCATTTTAACCATTTTAAGTGTACAGTTTGGTGGCATTAGTTCTTTCACATTGTTGTTATGTAACTGTCACTGCTATCCATCTTCAGAACTCTTTTCATCTTGTAAAACCACAACTCTGTACCCAATAAGCAATAACTCCCCATCCCCCAACACCCTGGCACTTACCCTCCTACTTTCAGTTTCTATGAATTTGACTACTTTTGGTACCTTATATAAGTGGAATCATACAACATGTGTACCTTTGTCATTGGCTTATTTTATTTATCATAATGTCCTCAAGGGTCACCCATGTTACAGCATTTGTCAGAATTTCTTTCCTTTTTAAGGCTAAGTAATATTCCATTGTACGACTGTGCCACATTTTGTTTATCTGTTCTTCTGTTGATAAGCACTTGGGTTGCTCCCACCCCTTGACTACTGTAACCAATGCTTCTGTGAAGATGGATGCACAAATATCTCTTTGAGTACTTTGCTTTCAGTTCTTTTGGGTATATACCCAGAAGTGGAATTGCTGGGCCAGATGGTATAAGCCTAAATTTTAATAGGCTACTGAATTAGCATTGCTAGTACAGTTGATCCTTGAACAACATGTGCTCAAACTGGATGAATCTACTTATATGTGGACTTTTTTTTTTCAATAAATATGTGCTATAGCACTACACAGTCCATAGTTGGTTGAATCCATGGATGTGGAGCCATGCAGATGGAACTGTGGATACAGAAGTTTGACTGTAAAGTTATATGTGGATTTGTAACTTTGTGAGGGTCACTACCCCTAATTCCGAACCCTGTGTTGTTTGAGGGTTTTTTTCCTCTATAATATATATATTACATATACAAGAGATATTGGTATATAATTTTCTTGTGATGTTATTGTCTGACTTCGGTATCAGGGTAATACTGATCTCATAGAATGAGTTAAGTATTTCCTCCTCTTCCATTTTCTGCAAGACTTTGAGAAGGATTGGTGTTATTTTTTTTCTTTAAATAGTTGGTAGAATTCTCCAGTTAAATCATGCAGTTCTGGGCTTTCTTTGTTGGGAGTTTTATGATTACTGATTTAACTTCTTTGCTTATATTATGACTTTATTAAATTAACATTTGTTAAGTGGAGCACAGGGTGCTGGGCGGTGAGTCATGATTCAACAACAAACCACAAGAGTAACTGAAATAGGGAAGTTTATTACTCATAGGTCCTGGAGGAATTATAGATGCCTTGAGGGACCACATGGAGAGGCAGACAGAGAGATGAAGGACCTGGGACACATGTCTTTATTTAGAGTCTGTGGGTAGAGTGCTTTGGGGTTCCTGGGCTAGGGCTGGATTGGTCATTTCAAACCCAAAAAGCAGGGTAAGCTCCATGGGGGTTTTTATCTAAGGGGTGTGTAAATCATACAGGTGCTGGGAAGCAAGGGAGACTGCTGATCACAAGTCATAACAGGAACTACATTTGCTTGTGACTCTGCATCCTGCTATCTAGGACATGCACTTCCCTGAAAGGGAGTCTGCTGTTAGTTTAAGGTCCCTGCAGGCTGCCTGGCCAAACAATATGGATGTGGAAGCAGCAGTACCATGGAGTAGCTTAGCTAAACTCTTTGCAAAAACTTGTGGATCTCTTCAGATTTTCTGTTTCTTCTTGAGTCTTTTTTGGGAGTTTGTATGTTTCTAGGAATTTCCATCTTATCTAGGTCTTCTGATTTGTTGGCATACAATTGTTCATAGTATTCTTGTATAGTACTTTTTATTTCAGTAAGACTGGTGATAACTTTCTTCCTTTCATTCCTGATTTTAGTGATCTGAGTCTTCTTTTTCTCTTGGTCAGTCTAGCTTAAAGTTTGTCAAATTTGTTGCTCTTTTCAAAAAACTAACTTATTATGTTGATCTTTCTTTATTGTTTTTATATTCTCTATTTCATGGATCTCTGCCCTAGTCTTTATTATTTCCTTCTTGCTTTGGGTTTAGTTTGTTCTTCTTCTAGTTCCTTAAGGTAGAAGGTTAGGTTTTGACTTGAGTGCTTTCTTTTTTTAAATGTAAATGTTTACAGGTGTACATTTCCCTCTGAGCACTTTTTCACTGCATCCCATATATTTTGGTATGTTGTGCTTTTGTTTTTATTCTACTCAAAGTATTTAATAATTTACATTGTAATTTGTTCTTTGACCCACTGGTTGTTTTAAGAGTCTGCTGTTTACTTTGCACTTTGTGAATTTTCCAAATCTCCTTCTGTTATTGATTTCTAGTTTCATTCCATTGTGGTAAGAAAAGATACTTTGTATGATTTCAGTTTTTAGAAATGTGTTGAGACTTATTTTGTGGCTGAACATATGGTCTATCCTGGAGAATGTTCCATGTGCACTTGAGAAGAATATGTATATTGTTGTTGTTGGGTGTAGCTGTATACATCTGTTAGACTTAGTTGATGTATAGTACTGTTTATGTCCTTTATTTTCTTGCCTATCTTTTGTATGGTTGTGCTATCCATTGTTAAAATTGGGATGTTGACTTCAGCTATTTCCCATTTTAGTTTGGTCAGTTTTGGCTTCATATGATTTGTTATATGTTGTCAGGTGCATATATGTTTCCCATCCAAGTACTAACTAGGCCCGACCCTGCTTAGCTTCTGAGATCAGATGAGATCGGGTGCATTCAGGGTGGTATGGCCGTAGACAGGTGCATATATGTTTATAATCATTTATATCTTATCCTTTTTTATTATATAATATCCTTTTTTGTCTCTTATAACTTTTTTTGTCTTAATGTCTATTTGTCTGATATTAATATAGTTATTCTAGTTCTCTTTTTGTTATTCTTTACATGGAATATCTTTCTATCCTTTCGTTTTCAACCTATTCGTGTTTTGGTTCTAAAGTGAATCTCTTGTAGACAGCATATAGTGGATCATTAAAAAGAAAATCGACTCTGCCAATCTCTGCCTTTTAATTGAAGTGTTTAATCCTTTTACACTTAATGTAATTACAGACATGGAAGGACTTAGGCAATTTTTAAATTTGTTTTCTTATATCTTGTATCTTTTTTGTTCTTCATTTTCTTCATTACTACCTTCTTTTGTGTTTGTTATTTTCTCATGTTAACATTTTGATTCCCTTCTCATTTCTTTTACTGTGTATCTTTTAATTATTTTCTTAGCAGTTGCCCTGAAGATTACAATTAACATCTTAACTTATAATAATCTAGTTCAAATTAATACCAACTTAGCTTTAATATTATATAAAACTTTTCTTCTATATAGCTCTGTTCCCCCATCTTTATGTTGTTATCATCACAAGCTAGATCTTTGTGTGTTCATCAAGATAGATTTGTAATGCTTCATTTATTTGCTAATTGATTGATTTTAAATGCTAAACCAACTTTGTAGTCTTAGGATAAGTTCAGTCAATAATAATGTGTTATTGTTTTATCCTTGTAACGTATTGCTGGTTCAACTTGCTAATATTTTGTTAAGGATTTTTGTGTCTATATTCATGAGGGATATTGGTCTAAAATTGTGTGTGTGTGTGTGTGTGTGTGTGATTGTCAAGTTTTAATGTCAGTAATGCCAGTCTTATGAGTTGGAAATTGTTCCCTTCTCTGTTTTATGAAGGAGTTTTTGTTAAATTGATGTTATTTCTTAAATATTTGATATAATTCAGTGAAACCATCTGGACCTAGACTTTTTGTGTGGAAAGATTTTCAGTTACTTAAAAATAAGTATAGTGTTATTCAGATATTGTTATTTTATTATTTTTCAATTTTGGCATGTTGTATTTTTTCAAGTAGTTTGTTTAATTTATCTAAGTTGTCAAATTTGTTAGCATAAAGTTGCTCATAATATTCTCCATCTAATAACCTTTTAGTGTCTGTAGCAATGTAACTTTTAGAAAATGCTTATACTGGCATTATAGCAAGTATTTATGTCGTGCTTATTACATACTTTTGACTTTATAAATATTATCTCTTTTAATCCCCACGACAATTTGTGAGGAGGTAGTATTATTATCTCCATGTTATAGATGAAGAAACCAGAGTTTCTAAGAGAGTTTAGGTGCTCTGCTCAAGCTTACAGAGCTAGTGTATTAAGAGCTTAAGTTGTAATCCAGGTGGTCTGGGTCCAGCGTCCTTTTTTCTAACTACTATTTACATTGCCTTTCTAAAATGACAGATAGCTGTTCTGTTCTTCTTATGGAACTGTGCTGTATTCTCCATAGAATCTATCCTTGCTCTCCCCACCTTTATACCACTGAGTGGAAATTTTTGTTTCTGTTGTTCCTAATTAAAACTTGGAATGCCTTTTCCCCGATAAAAACATTACATATGATGGCTATGCATACTTGAAATAATGTTAACACTCTTCTTCAGTCACATAATATGTGAAAAAGACTTTTAGGGCTTCACTGGGAAGTTCACCAAAACTTCTAATATGAAACATTGTTTCTTAAGGGAAAATATTAGAAGAAATTTATTTTAAATTCACTTGCCTAAAAAGTTAAACTTGAATTATGTAGAAGTGATATTTAACTTTTTCTAATTTCTTAATGATTTGAATTTACTGAGTTATTAAATCATAATTTAAAAAGACAAATACCATGATTAATTTGGACACATACTTTGTTTCACTTTGATTAATTTGTTGATTAATGTCTTTCAGGGTTATTCAAATACTCAGAAGAATATTCTTCTTCAGGTGGATCAGAACTGTGTTCGTAATTCTTATGATGTCTTCTCTTTGCTGCGGTAAGAAACTTCTTAGAGTCCTCTTGTGTTTTCTAAAGAATCTTCCTCATTTTGAGTTTGTGACATTTCAGTGTGAGGAAATGTATGGGAGCTTTAGAAGCTGTTACTCAGACGTAGCATTTTTTAGTGAGAGCTTCATAAATTTTGTAGCTACAGTGATTTAAGTTTATCTCTTTTACAAAGCCTTTGGAAAGCCATTTTTTTCCCTCTGGACAGTGGGAAAGAATGATTGGAAGCCATTGGTCTTAAAACAGGGACATGAGCTTTTTCCCGTCTCCTGCACTATAAAGAGCAGCAACTAGAGGTACGAAATTTAGGCTTATCAAAATTTTAACAACTACGGCATTACTAGAAAAACCCTCCAATAGCCCCAGATTTAGCTTAGAGTTTTGATCTGCTGTTCATCTTTAAAAAATCATATTTGGCAAGGCAAAGGAGCTTTGCATGAATCTCATGCTCAGAGGCTCAACTGCCTTAGCTCTATATTTTCATAATGTCTGGGCTTAATTTTGAAAGATTTTTAAATTTGATTGTAATTTTCAATGTGGTAGATCATCAAGGACATTTTCCCAGGAGACAAGCTACCAAAATGAAAGCAATTTAAAATAAAGTTAACAGTGACACTCAACCTATGTTCACCCTACTCAGACAGATGATTCATTGAAATTTGATTTTGGCAGTATTTTCCTAATATTTACATAACACATCATAAATTTCAGACCATTAGACATCCTCTGTGTATCTACTAGAGGAAGAGCCCAGAAGGATGATTGGACTTTTGTCCAATTGGATGATTGTTTATTTTTAAACATTATGAAATGGGCTTTTCCTTTGCAAATCTTGAATCTTACTGTACATGATGATAGAGAGTTTGGTCACGTAGACTATGTAAGTTCTCTTAAGAGACAATGATTTCAATTAAAGTAACCACACACATTTGATAACTTTTGATTCTTATCTGAGAGGTGCTTTCACTTTGACTTCTTAGGATATGTAACAGAATGGACAGAATTTAGAAATTGGATGGTGGAGATAGAAAGCAGGAGGGGGTCAAAATATATACCTTTTTTGAGCCTGTTATTTTGGGGCTACACTGAGTTTTAACTATTGAAAACAGTGATGTACGAAAATAGTTTGAAATGTGAGTAAGCCACTAATATTTCTTGACCTGTTTTCATCCGTAAAATGAGGGTATAGATACTATTATTTTAAAGATATTTTCCAATTATGAGATCGAATGATTTATTAGAGAAACCAATAGAATTAAAAGAAAAAGGAACAAAAAGTCAGTGAGGAGGATGAGGACTTGGGAAAGGTAACATCATAGAATCTAAGGGAATCCAAGAGATTTAAGGAGTATTGAAGGCTCTGTACTAGGATCTTGGGAATCAACTTGGTATACTAGAGAATGCATTGATTAACGTGACTCTGGCTTGAGTTATCCTTGTTTTATCCTAGTTCACGTGACCTCTCTGATTGATCTAAAACGCTGAAGCAGTGATTTACAAATTGGTTTAATTTATAAGCATTTTCACGTCTATTATCTTACTCTCCTAGAAGTTTTTTGTGTTCACACATCAGGGGTCAGCCTTTGTCTTCAACACAGAAACTGAAGCCGAGAGGTGTTAAATGATTTATTTGTCTGAGGGGACACACAGCAAGTGAGAGCCAGACTGGAGACTGGTATGAAGGTTTTCTGACAAGCAAATTTTACAGAATCCTTTTCACAGTCTCACTTACCTTCCTAGACTGGTGGTTATAAGGTGCACACAGTACAATGATGGACAAATTTTCTGAAAATCACAGAGCCCTCTATCCATTCAGAATGATCAGGTTTGTCTGATAGTTGCTCAGTTATTTAACCCGGATCATGCAATGAAATGGCTCTTGAGGGTTTCACTTCTGGAGTGCCTTCTAGATTCCTCAGGTGTGTCAGCACTTTGAATTGCCTTATTAACGGAGGCCTTCTCATCACCATTGT